AACGCGACCAAAGCAAAGCGTGACGTCACCCCATTCAAAGTGAATGGGCAGAAGCGTTGAAGCTTCAACGCACGCCGCCGTGTGGACGGGCCGTTAGTCCTTCATTAAATTCGCTTAGTTTATTCCAGCTCTGTAAATATGTTGAATGTATAGAAAATGTATAAGATTACTTAATTAAAATGGCATCAGGTGAAAAGGATGCTACAAACGCTTACTGTGATAATTGTGCAGCTTTAATTATTTGTGGACATTTTACATGTACTGATTTAACTTACTCTCATCTTTCTACACTGTGTTATTCATGTGCATTTCTCTCTCTACTTATACCTACTTACTGTAAATACACTGAAAACATTCTGTCTCGTGACGTTTTTCCTGTCATCTCACCTTCTGCTGCTTCCTGTCTCTCATCAGCTCGCAAACCCTGATTCAGTGGAAGGTCTGGTTTTGGTCAACATCGACACTAACGCCCGAGGATGGATCGACTGGGCTGCCCAGAAGGTACGATCGTCTTTGTACTCAGAAAAACGCTGTATTTAATAGAGTTAGACCTCATAGGACCTCTCCATCAATTTATGTTTGTCTGTGGATATGAAATTATGTGACCGCGTGCATGGTCCCAGAGTACTATTGATTATGTCCTTGTTTATCATATTAGACTCCAAAATGATGAACCGTCCTATTGGTTTCTCTTTCTTTCCTCCTCTAGCTCGTATCCGTGACGTCTTCCCTGACAGAGCAGATCATGTCCCACCTGTTCAGTCAGGTACAAAGACGATAATTCAAGTGTAAAATTCAATATGTGTTTCATAATTGTATCAGAACACGACATACTTTCCGCCAATAGCGTCGATGAAATGTTGTTTCTTGCAGGAGGAGCTGTCAGCAACCACAGAGCTAGTGAAGTTTCACAGAGAGCGAATCTCCAAAGCGTCAAACCTGGTCAACATAGAGCTCTTCTGGAAGACTTACAACAGGTAAACACACCTGCAAACGCTATGACATGAATGCAAATATATGCCGGATTTAAAAAGAACAACCAACATAAAGTTCTCTTTCTGTTTCCCTCCAGCCGCAAAGACTTGAACATTGACCGCAACAGCACCTTCAAGTAAATATCTTCTAAACTTGTATCTGTATACTTTATTTCTTGTTTGATTTTGAGAAAAACCTCCAATATATTTTAATAGAACGCTCCTAATTTCTATTTCTCTCCACTTCAGGTGTCCAGTAATGTTGGTGGTTGGCGATCAGGCTCCATATGAGGAAGCTGCCGTAAGTGTTGAGGCCTTATTTTATCTTTTAAAATATATTTCAATGGCGATTTGACTTTGATTTGGTTTTTTTTCAACACAAAGAGTTGAATGTTTTTGTGATGGCAGATGTTTACTTTGTTTTCCTTGTGTGACCGCTAGGTGGAGTGCAACAGCAAGATGGACCCGACAACAACCTCGTTCTTAAAGGTAACCAATGAAGTATTTATTTTCTTAATCAGTTTATATCCTGTTTGTCTTCTTACTTGCACTTTATTTACCCATTCACTCTTACACTCTATTTTGCTTTGTCCTCCACAGATGGCCGATGCTGGTGGTCTCCCTCAGCTGACCCAGGTGAGAACAAACTACCAACGTCCTTCTGAGACTTAAAACTTTAACTCGTCTTTGAACACGAATTGATGTATTAAAACGTAACTAAGAATTGCAAAAGATCATCAGAAACTGAAGCATTGTACCTAGAATTTAATCTTACATGCCAGTTCCTACAAAAAAGGGAACAAACTTTTTTTTGAAAAGCAATCATTCTGGGTGTTGTAGTCTAGCGGCGACCTCTGGGTCTGAAAAGTGAATCC